TGACAGATACTTTTCTCAATGTCATCTAGTATAGGATCCATCATATGGCTATGGTATGCCGCAGGCACATCTAACTCATGGAGGAAGAGATTCTTCTCTGTAAACACAATCTTCAGCCGCTGATGGAGCATGTCTACAGCATCTGCATCCCCTGACAGAGTGCAGGACTGGGGGCTGTTGAATGCTGCAACACAAATTTTCCCAGAAAACTCTGGAAGGATTTTTAATACCTCTTCTATGGCCACATTACCAACAACAAGCATTTTGCCTCCTGTGACTTTACTCTGAAGAACACTGCGGTGGTACAACACTTTCACGGCATCCTCAAGAGACAAGAAACCAGAACAGTGAGCAGCAGCAACCTCACCAACAGAATGTCCAAGCACAGCATCTGGTTTGACACCCCAGTGCTTTAGGAGAGCAGCAATGCCAACCTGTATTGCAAAGAGAAGTGGCTGGACAACGCTGGGCTTGCTAAAATCACCATTATCATATTTACCATCAAGCCACTGACTGATGCTGATGCTTTTATGACTCTGGAAAAGATTCTCAACTTCTCTGACCTTATCTCTGAAGACAGGAACCTCCCTCAGGAGCTGCTTGCACATACCCTTGTACGCAACCCCATTTCCACAAAACACAAACACCACCTGGATGTCAGACTTTATAGACTCAACGTTTGTTCTTAATGCAGAAGTCAGCTGATATTCTAGATCTGAAAGGGAAGATGTTAGGAAGGCCTTCCTAAATTTGTGCTGAGAATGATTCCTTCCACATGCTGACGTGTATGACAGTGCCTGTATATCAACTGTTTGATTGCTGCAAATCTTCTGCTGGGTGTCAGTAATGGACAGGATAAGTGATTTCTCAGAGGCTGCAGATATTACAAAAAGTTTTGGACAAGCTTTTGGGATCTGTGTCGGAACTGTGGCCTGTCTGGACTCTCTTACAATCGCATGTGCATTTGTGCCTCCAAAGCCAAAGCTGTTTATCCCCGCTACTCTTCCTAATGACCCATTTGTCTCCCAACTTTCAGCCTTAATGGGGATACTTATACTCAGAGCTTTTGCATCAATGCTTGCACTGTCCTCTGAGTAGAAAACTGAGGGAACAATGGTCTCATGCTTCATCATCAGAAGAACCTTAATGAGTCCGGCCACTCCAGCTGCAGATTCTGTATGTCCAATGTTGCCCTTTACAGAGCCAATCCGCAGTGTCTTTGAACCACGAGGTTTGGCTTTAGCGATGACATTTGAGATGCTTCCTGCCTCTGTTGGATCTCCAACTGGGGTTCCAGTCCCATGTGCTTCTATGTACTGGACATTTGCAAGGTCAGACTTCGAGTAGATTCTTTGCAACAGCTCCTGTTGTTGAGTCATGGATGGTTTGGTTATTGGAGTGACTGAATGACCATCTTGGTTGACCGCCGTTTTGCTGATGATACCCCATATTTTGTTGCAGTCTTTTATGGCCTTTGTAGAGAAAGTCACATTATAAACAGACTATCTGTACTGTATAGGATTTATAAATGTCATGAAATGACTGTCAAAGATAAACAGAATACTTGCTTACATTTTTCAGAGGCTTCAGGAGAACGACCCCGCAGCCCTCCCCTCTGCCATAACCATCTGCTCTGCTTGAGAAAGGTTTGCTGGTCCCTTCAGGTGAGATCATCTTTGCCTTGCTGAGGGCAACAAACATTCTTGGCTCTATTATACAGCTCACACCTCCACATAGAGCCATCTCACAGTCTCCTAGTTGAACAAGAGAGTTCATGGAACATTTGAATGTGTGATGCTTTTAGGCATAACATTTGCAATGCAAAAGAGACCCACGTACCTTGCTTTATAGCCTGGCAGGCTAAATGTAGAGCCACCAAAGATGAAGAACAGGCACTGTCAACAGCAAATGAAGGGCCAGTAAGATTAAATGTGAAGGATATTCTATTGGCGGCCACACTCATGGCCGTCCCAGTGCCGTTGTAGTGGGTTATCGTGGTGGGACTGTTACTTTGTAGCATCTCATAATCCCTGTTCATCAGACCTGAAACACCATTACAAAAGCAGAGAACATCACAATTTATTTATCATGAAATTGTGCTGATTTTGAGTGTATCATAGAACAGTATTGGTCACCTATGTAAACTCCAGTTCTGCCTCCACTTATGCTTTCCATCGCCATTCCCGCATCTTCTAATGCCCTGTATGTACACTGCAGAAGGAGTTTCTGCTGGGGGTCCATAAAATCAGCCTCTGCTTCAGTAATGCCAAAAAATGTGTGATCAAATTCATTCAACCTGCAATATGAAAATAGCAGATCCATCATAAGTCAAACATCTCTCCATGGAATTTTAACACCCACTCCTAAAGGAATACTGTAACCCACAAATGACCACTTGTGTATCAATTCATCACCCACATTTTGTTGAAATTGGGAAGGAAACTTTGCTTCTCACATGCCTCGGGTGAACAAAGAATCCAAAAACTGAGAAACTTCTTGATGAACTGAATCAATAGAGGTCCGTAAACAGCAAAACTATATCAAAACATCTGTTTAGAAACTCTCACACAGGTCATGCATATAATCAAAGTCTCATTTATCCAGTTGTATACTTACTTTCCAAACAGACAGCCCCTTCCGACTAAAATCAAAGTGAAGGTATCACTTTATTTTTAATTCCCTGCCAGAAAAGGCTGTTTGGGTTGCACTAAGCATATAACTGGATAAATGACACTTGATTATACTGCACAAGTTGTGTGAGAATTTGTAAATGAATGTTTTAATATAGTTTTGCTGTTGTTAAACACGGACCCCTTTTATTTTAATTCATCAAGAAATGTCTCCACTTTTGGATTCTTCGTTCACTGTGGAGGCATGCGAGAAAAACAAAGTCTCCTTCACAAATTCAACATAACATGGAGTGGGTAACTGATATACAAATGGTCATCTGAGGGTGAAGTTTTCCTTTAATAGGTTAACACTTACCCTTCTATAAGAGCTGCTTTGCTTGTCTGTGTCTTTCCAGGTTTGCTATCATCAGCATTGTACCAAAACGTGGTGTCAAATCTCTCTGCTGGAATATCTACAACACAGTTCTTTCCCTCCAAAAGAACCCTCCAGAAGTTGTCCAACCCTTCACCTAAAATAAAATGAACCAGAATACCAATAATTGACCTCAAGAAACCACTGGGGAAACAAACAACAAAGAAAACAACAAAAAATATTAAAGAAAATCGAAATACTTGCGTCTTACCTCCAGGGAAATTGCATCCAATCCCAATAACAGCTACGTCCTCATCTGATTCCTCCATTGTTCCTTTGAGACGGACATAAAGTTGCTCTGGGGCTTTATTCTAAAAGCCAAAGATGAATTTCAAGCCTCTCCATAGTGAAGCTTCATGTTCAGTCCTGGTTGCTGTCTTTGGTCAGAACTAGAGCTGTTGTGCCTCCTCTCTTTATAAACACTGTGTCAGTGAGAAGGGACAAGAGGAAACCACAATGCCTGCCTTGTTGCATCTCAGTTGGCTTCATCTGGAACTAAATACACTAATTGTCAGTTAAGATCATTCGAAGGCAGCTGTGAATACGCTTTTGTTCTTGTTCAAAGTTCTATGACTGGCCACTTCCAGAGTTACCTGGGGCCACATCGTCTCTTAAAGGAAATAGTAATGTTTTTAGAGCTGTACCAAATAGTTTGAAGCTTGGAAGGGTCGTTTATAATGTTGACATTTGAGTTCTACTTCTAATTCTTCTCGACATACTGATGGGATGATCACAGAATCTGCAAATAAATGCATACATATGAATGTCTCTTGACATTGTTAACAGTAGTAATTTTATTAAACTGGTTTAATTTATATTCATGTATTTAGTGCATTTTGTATTCAGAGCCCTTCACACCCTTAGCTGTGAAACTTGAGATTCATGGTGCCTCCCATTCCTCTTGATCATCTTTGGGGTGTTACTACACCTTGATTGGAGTCGACCTGTTGTTAATTCAACTGATTGGAATCACCTGTCTATATAAGGTCTCGCTTCTGACAACACATATCAGAACAAAATAGAAGTCGTGCAGTCGAAGAGACTTTCTGCATAGCTCAGAAATAGGCTTGTGTTGAGGCACAGATCTGGGGCAGGCTAGAAAAAAAATCTGCTGCATTGGAAGTTCCCAGGAGTGCAGTGGCCTCCGTTATTCTTAAATCAGGAAAAAGTCTGGAACAGCAGGGAATCTTAGAGTTGGCTGCCCAGTCTGATGGGCCAACATCTTCTTTTTAGTGTGGCTTTAGCGTAGTGTTGTGATTTTATCACCACCTGCTGTATTGGTGTGCTCTTGATAGTGTTTCAATTGTGTTTTGCATTTTCATTTAGATGGAGATTTTTTTTGTAAAAGTGCTTGTATGCAGGGAAATTTTTGAGATAGAAAAAAGAAAACGTTGACAAATACACCCATGTCCATGTGGCAGTCCCACTGTCATTGTCAATTGTTTGCAGTGGTAGCAGGCAGCTGTAGCTATCTGTACATTTAACAGACACAAAGTTATCAGCTAGCTGGTCAACTTTGTGGAGCAATTAGCATCAGTGATGTGGTGGATGGTACAACTATACAAGACATACCTAACTATCAGCCATAAAACACTAGAAAATTTAAGAATGTACCCAATTTACTCTTGGTAACCTACCAATCTCCCTAAAAGTACACCCACCTAAAATGGCTACTTCCACCCCACTGTTTAGCAGCTACAGAACTGGATATTTCACTCAGATGTCCACCAAACCCAGAAGGAATGTGAACATTGGACTGTATTTGTCTCCAAATAAATACTAACGTTTCTCTGTGTCAGCTGAATGTGTAAAAGCGACTGGTTGTTAACACATTAGCCATACAAGCTACATAAGGTGATAATAAGCCAGTGTTGCACTTCACCTTGTTGTGCTGCCCTCAAGTGGCCAAAATCAATTAGTGCAAGCTTCAGTTTCATTTGAGTCATATACAGAACACATTTAAGAGTGAGGGTAACCTTTATTTGAGCTCCATGAATTCATTTGTCTTAAGAAACAAACAGAAGCACAAAGCCAATCCTTTTACACACTTACAGATTATATACATTTCCCCTCACTTATCAGCTACACAGGAGCCTACAGTCAGAGGCATGAGGGCCTATCTAATTTCAGAAAAAAAACACACCTTTGGGCACTTAAATAAATAAGAACAAAGAAAATAGATGCAACTGACAGATATCATTTAGAGGAAAAACTCTAGTATGAACAGCAGTATCACCGGTACCTTGCTACAGCCAAATGGTACATTCTGGATTGAGGTACTTTAAGGTCCCATGGTGTTCATCAGTCTGTACAAATTTAAAAGGAGACATACACATACATGAAATCATTCATTTCATCTTCAATTAATCATGAGCTTAGTCAAATTAATTTGCCTGAGAACCTTGATATGATACCAAATATAACTGATGTATAAAACTACTACAGAATTAATTTGTCTTGAGACTAGAGGACAAAAAGTCCTTCATGAAACTTCAAACATCTTTGTCTGTAGTAGAGATCAGATTTTATTTTCATCCAATTAAACTGAGTGCTTTAAAAATTGCTGTGAAATCAAGTCTTCTCTAGAGGAAATGCAAGACAAATGAAAATGAAATAAAAATGTATATACGGGGTGAAACTGAATCAGTTCACTGTCATCTTCACATTGATAACGAACAAATGAAATACAAGGCCTCCAAAAGGCCTGTGCACAATCGCACAGCTTCATATATACATGATACAAGTCTAAAATAACTACTGAGGTATCTGCTGGTCCAGTTATTTGCCCTCCAGCACCCTCTGGATCTCTTTGGCATCCAGAGTTTCATGTGTCAGCAGGGCGTCTGCGAGCTTCTTGTGCTCCTTACTGTAGGTCTTCAGGATGTTTTTAGCACGTTCATAAGAGTCCTGGATGGAAGAGGAAAGAAAATGATTAAAGGAGATTAATTTGTGTATAAATATATCTGTAAATTTAAGTCCGAGTGCTGTGGAAAAACTCACCTTCAGTAAAGCTCTGACTTCCTGTTCGATGGCAGCTTGTGTCTCTGGGCTCTGCTTGGTCACGTCACCGTAGGTCATGACACCAAGCTGCAACAAGACACAAATTACACCCTTACGTTGGCTGAACAATAGACCTTCTCATGCATTACTCACTTAGTCAGTGATCATTATAAGCTGTGAGAGATTTTCTTTTAGGACTCCACACTCAGACTGAGATTTCATTATCCTAGGTGTAATTATGTTACAGTAATGTCAGTGCCGCAGGTTTTCATTTCAACTTAACAATAAATCAGTATTCCACTCCCTGCTTGGAGACAAACTGATGTCAGCATGTTCAGAATAACATTTAATTGTACTTCTACACTTTGCTTTGTGAGAAAACATTGTTGTGTACACTGTAAAGAAAAGGTCAGCCCGCAGAGCAGCACTGTTTAGAGGAAAAACTCTGTCTTCAGTGTTTAGGGATGGGAATTGAGAGCTTGTTTCAATTCCAAATTGTCTGATCAATCTGAATTATATGTATCAGAGCCTTTCAATTCCTTTTATCAGTGCTGGCATGTTTTTCTGGCAGTTGCACATTGCAAAACAATGACGACGATGATTGCCACCAGCTGAAACTTCTCCCACTTGTCAAGTGTGAACTCCTGGCCAGAATTCCTTCAGCATTCATTGTTCAGGAGGTTTTTACCAGAAGCTCAACTATATGCAGAGGTCTCAGAATAAAGCATGTTCAAGCTACATATCAGTGCTCATCGCAGACAAGCCGCTAGCCCAACACCTGCTAATCCGTGCTCGCCTTTTTTCTCTGCTAACTTTAGATCCAGATGTTCAGGCAGTTTTTCAACCAGTAGCTGAATTTTTCACAGAGGTCTCTTTCTCTCCAAAACAGACCCAGAAGATTTCAACTGGAAAAACACTGAATAAAGCAGGTTTTTTTTTTATGTTGTTGCTCGTCGCTGAGAGGCTGCTAATTACAGTGGATGAAGCATATCAGCTCAATTCACCGATCAGCTTCCCAGTTTTACGCTTGAAAATGAGCAAAGGAAGGGTGTAGGCCCTTTTTCCCACTCAGAAAATTGGTCAGGAATCAATAAGGGAACTGATAAATAATCAGACCAATACGCAGAATCTATAATGGCACTGGTATCAATAAAATCCTATAAATTCCCATCCCTATGTATGTTACTGAAAAGGATCAAAACATTCTCTTGTCAATCACACAAACTTAAAGGTTACCTTGTCACTCATGCCGAACCTGGTCACCATCATTTTTGCTATTTTGGTTGCTCCATCGAAGTCACTGGAGGCTCCTAAAAAATGACCAAAGCATACAGTCAATATTATCAGACATGTACAATAATAATTTATAGTAGTGTAACAGTTCTGATGTCATTGCAGTTGCAAACAAAGCCTTTGTTTTATCTAAGGAAAAGTATTGCTTGATAAAAATGAATATTATGCATTTTCATCAGGATACCGATCTGTTAAAACAGTTTGAAGCCACACAAATTTGATTTTTGGAATACATGTTTTCTCTCTAACCGCGCTTTTCTGTTGCTAATAGCATGACAGGACTGCCATCCAAGCATCACTTAAATGATGTTCTTTTATTCCCGCACCAGTAGTGATGTGGTCATCCCCAAAGATGAGCTCCTCTGCTACCCGACCGCCCATACTGACATCCATCTGAGCCAGCAGCTGAGCTCTTGTCTCACTCCAGCGATCATTCTCTGGGAGCATGGACACCTAGAGGACAGAGACAAGAACATTATTGATGAGCTTTAAGTTAAACAAAAAAAGTGACACCAGCGGTTCTGGTGAGGAGAATGAGAAAAGCTCACATGGCCAAGAGTTGGGCCCCTGGGCATGATGGTGGCCTTATTGATGGGCATTGCATCTTTGGTATAATAGGCGACAATGGCATGACCGGACTCATGGTAGGCTGTGATGGTCTTATTCTTCTTGTCGATTTCAACACTCCTCCTCTCAGGGCCTGGTATGCAAAGGACAAAATAAAAAAGCATTGTAAGTGATTTAAAAAAAAGAGTGTGTCTAGGTAATGTGTCTCATGTGATGTGAGGGATACAGAGCAGATCTAAACACTGTGTATTCACCCATGAGGATCTTGTCCTTAGCAAATTCCAGATCTGCCATTGAGACCATCTCTTTCTCGTCCACGGCTGCCTTCAGGGCAGCCTGGTTGACCAGGTTCTCCAGCTCTGCCCCAGAGAAGCCCACTGTGCCCCGGGCGATAATCTCTGCTTCCACAGCTGTACAAGAGCAACACAATGGAAAATGCTTTCTTTGTAAAAGTGATCTAGAGACAATGGTGTCCTTTACAAACATAGCAACAAAGGTATTCTCACGGCTCTGAATGCTTTAAAAGGGTTTCATTTGATAAGGAAGCTAATGTTGACGGTCTGAGACCTACCAGGGTCCACTTTGATTTTGGAGAGATACCAGTTGAGGATTTCAGTGCGTCCTTTCACATCGGGGCGAGGGACCGTCACCTGCATGTCAAACCTTCCTGGCCTTACCAGAGCGCTGGAAAATAGTAGCAAAGTAGTATTAAGATTAAAACAATATTGTGTGATACTACTGGCTTGCTCTATTTGTTTCTGTGCTTGGAGTGTCCCACAAATACCGATGGGACGATACAGATTTTATAGCAGATCTCAATAAAGACACGAAAAGTAACTTCATTGTGGTGAATTTCCATTATCGGGATGGTCATGAATATCATGACAAAGAGACTGCTGGACAACCAACAATAAGACTCTTAGAAAGATCTTAGTCAAGCATTGGCATATTTCTTACAGAAATATATGATACCACTTCAAATAGTTCAAAACTCTGGCTTTTTAAGACTGTTTCCATTCTCTACTAAAAGGATGTTCATGAAAAAAGCTGTGTTCTATCTGTGATGGAATAAACATGTTTGTTTCTTAACAAAATGAAAGATAAAGTAATTCAAGTATATTGTAGTGCCTTTAAGAGTTTTAAGCATATTTTGATGATTATTGGGATAATATTTCAATCATAATTTCTTTGTTTAGGATAATTGTGAAATAAAATTTTCATATTGTTCCATGCCTACCCATAATAATGTTTGAAACCGATACTCTTCCTTAGAATCAAGCTAAGTTTGCAATGAGAAACTAAAAAAAAAAATTTTAAAACAAAGTTGTTTTCCACTGCACAGCACGATTTAATTAAACTCGCCATAAAAATGTGCAAACAAAAATCATTGTGTGGCTTTAGGTTGTTATATTACTGTGGTGGATATAAAACAGGTCAGTGGTTAATTTACATTTAGAGTGTTTGTTTTGTCATTTGTGTACATGAAATGGCTCCATGCAGACAGTGTTACTATAGAAACTAGGACAAGGCCACAGGGATAAAACAGCCTGAGGCATCTGTCAGAGTAAAGGTCAGAGTAGGATGTTAAAAACTGGAACAGTTTTGTAAACATGAATTACTACTATGGTACATATTGTATGGATTGACCCTATTTCAGAACGCATTTCAAACTGGTTGTTCAACAAGAAGTTAAAAAAAGAAATGTAGGGGTGTTGGTGGCTTAGTGGTAGAGCAGGCGCCCCATGTACAAGGCTGTTGCCACAGCGGCCCGGGTTTGACTCCAGCCTGTGGCCCTTTGCTGCATGTCCCTCCCTCTCTCTCTCTCTCCCCTTCACGCTTGTCTGTCCTATACACTAAAGGCTAAAAAGCCCCAAAAAATATCTTTAAAAAAAATAAAAAATAAAAACATAAAAATAAAAATAAAAATAAACATACTTATCCAAAGCCTCTGCGAAGTTTGTAGCACCAATGACAATGACGCCTTCATTTGGTTTAAACCTGTGAAATAACAAAACATTGAAAACAGGAAGTAGAAAGTTATTGACAGCAACATTTTATTTACACTATGTCATTTTAAAAACATCAACAGCCAAAAAAACTCACCCATCCATTTCAGCCAGCAGCTGGTTGATGGTTTGTCTAGAATAGGGATGCATAGGAGACTCGATCCTCTTCCCGCCAACGCTGTCCAACTCATCAATGAAGATGACACAGGGAGCATTAGCTTTTGCCTCTTCTGCAAACCACAAAACAAAAGACAGAGATTGCAGTTGTTTACATACATCCTTAACTGGTTACTCACATTTTCTCACATCCAGCCAACTCACTGAAAAGGTTCCTGATTCGGCTTGCACCAACGCCCACAAACATCTCATCAAACTCTGATCCGGAGGCGTAGTAGAAAGGCACGTCAGCCTCCCCTGCTACAGCCCGTGCTAACAGAGTCTTTCCTGTGCCTGGTGGACCAACGAGGAGGATCCCTGAGAGAATAACAGAGAAAACAGAATTAGAATAACATAACAGCACATCAGAAAAATATAGGAGTATTGTCAAATGTGTGCTTTTTCCTGGACAATAAAAACATATATAAAGTGGAAAAAATATAAAATACCTTTAGGCAGTTTTCCACCCAGAACGGTAAACTTTTGGGGGTTCTTGAGAAACTCGACAACATCTTGCAATTCATTCTTTGCCTCCTCCACTCCTTTGACATGCTCAAATGTCACATTCTTCATCTGGATGGGGTCGACTGCTGAGTCAAGACCAGATGTGGTGCGGAACCTCACTGTGAAATCCCCAAACAACGGGTTCAGTACAATAACACCAGAAAAACTTTCCATTTCTTTACAGTGTCTCACAATGACAGACAACACAGCTACAATATTCTTACTGTGGTAAAATGTTAATACTAAGAAACAACAAATTTATGCTATTATACATTCTAATACATCCAGCTAACTGGTATGAAAACATACATATTTGATATAGATACTTAGGTATTACTTACTACACATAAATATGCATCACAGTAATCAGTCAAACCCTACATGCACACCGCAGGACAGACATCATATCTTATCCACAACACTTTAAGGTATTAACTTAAGTTACACATTAACAACATATCAAATATTTCAGCTGAAAGTGGCCTCAAGTAAAACACTTTTACATCCTTGGAGACACTAACAAGCTTTGTTCTATTTGCAGTGTGTATGTAGGGTTGTGAGTTGATTTGCAAGCATAGGAGAGAATAAAAACTGACACAAACCAGCATCAGAAAAGGAGCCTTTACCCGAGAGAAACGGGGTTCTTGACAAGCCATAAATACCGAGAAGGAGAAGGACGAACAGGATCAACCTGGTTCTCCTCAGCGAGTCTGTCAAAACAGAGCACAGGCAAAGACGAGTTATCCTTTATGTCAATCATAAATCTCTCTGTGTGTTTTTTCTCCAACGCTGCCTCCTGCCACATGCCTTGTGTTCTCTGAGTGAAGGCCTGAGACCTCATGAACCCCTCGGTGAAACCCGTCTTGAAAGCTTCCTGCTGGTTATCTGGAAGGTTCTTTTGTTTCATCAGCTGCTCCAGTGATTGTGCTTCTGGTCCCTTTTCCCTGTGAAGCAATCCCTGTGTGGGAAGCAGAGGGAGAAATAGTTGGTAAAGCTTTAAAATACAGCCTTTTTCACTTCCTTTGTCCAACCCCCACTGACTTTGTTAATACAGAGCAACTTCCAGTAGGTCCCACTACTGTTTGCTGACCTTCATGAAGGCTGGTGTGTAGGCCTCAGACTCCACTGGACCATCATACGCAGACTCCATTCGCTTGGTCTTTGTTCGCAGTGTCTTGAAACCTCGACTCTGGACCCATACTAATTAGAAACACATATGGAAAGCCCAAAAGAAACCCCATTAAATACAACTTTAAAATACCAAGCCATTCATTCACATACTGTAGATAAGTTTGGATATTTTCACAGTTTTGTGTCTAGGTGACTGATGGGAACAATATTTTCTTTAACTGGACCAACCATGAAACAGGCTGCAATGTCACCTATTCGGCATGTTCACACCATCAATTTACGTCCACTTAGAGTGCTTGTTTTGTCATAGACATGCTTGATTATTATTCTATGTGTCTAAAGAAAGGGATCCCTACAGAGATAATAAATAAACCAGACTCGATTTAAATAAACAGTAATTGTATTGATGAAAAACATCTTGGTTCTTCTTTCCACTGTTCCGACAATAAACAGCTCTGGTTCGGTTGGAATAAAACCACCCAGTTACTTCTGCCAATATGCTGGCTGTACACACACTAAAATTACAGTTTATTTAAATGGAGTCTGGTGCTTTGGCAATGGCAATTTCGGGGCTGTTTCTTGTTTAACAAAAGGATCTTCCTCTTTAATAAAAAGGTCTGTCTCTGAAGGGATCCTTTCCATAATGTTGACAGACACTTAAAAACAATCTGAGTCAGTGGCAAAAAAAACAAAACACTTTTAGTGGGCGTAATCGGTGAGCTCATGCCCTAATTGTTGCTGTCTTGCTCATTACTGGACCAATTTCAGAAATTGTTGTTCCCACCAGCCACTTAGACACAAAAACATGAGAAGGTTGAAGGTTGAAAAGTATTGAATTCACTCTTTCAGTGTACAAAGTTTCTTACCAGGCAGGAATTGTAGCTCTGCACAGGCTTCTTTTAGAGGACTGTGGTATTGTCTGTGGAATATTGGGGAGCCAAACACGCCCACTCGTTTGTGTGAAAACCCTGTCAGACAAAAAGTGCAAAATGGTTTGTTTCACTTAACGTGATATAATACATTGATAAATGTGTACATTTAGTTTTCTTTAGTAACACAATCATCTCAGATACAACGGCTTTTCATAAAGTGAGATTTTCAAAGAAAACAATGAGCCTGAGCTGCTCACCATGCTTGTTATGAAAGAAGCTGTCTGTAGAAACGTGACTTGACCTCCATGTTGAAGGGACAGTGGGAGGTTGTTCTGGTCCTGGTATAGGCAGTAACCTGCTGACCAGCTCGTCCAGCTGACTCACCCTGATGTCTGACAGGCCAAGATCCCTCAGACTCACACTAGGCTGGGAAGAAAGAAGAGTAAAAGAAGGTTATCTACACCTTTTAAAGACAATCAATGCATGCACATGGCTTTTAGAGTCTTAAAAAAAATAAAAAAACGACAACTCGTTCACTTTTTTAAAGACTTATGGAAATTTACATCCTGATAGCACAAGTTAGACCTGCTTCAGCACAATGGGATGTGCAATACAATTTGCTTGCAAATGAATGAGCAAGACAAAGTTTGAGGTACTGGTTGGCTTGAAAATACATTTCTTAACTTGGGTTAAATTGGAAAAGCTTTTAAAGCATACATGCATGCTTTTATGATTATTACTGTGTGATTAAGGAAAATGCTACTGTTGAAGATCCTTCACTTTTTGTTTGCAGGAAAACCTAATTAAATGAATGATGAAAGGCATATTTAAAAAAGCTTTTGTAGCGATCACTCATCATGGATTTGTTTTGCTTGATGTGTTTGCTCAAAGTGTAATCCTTAAAAGAGGGTTCTCACTTACAAAGAGTAACTTCAGAACAAAATCCAATAATCTTATTGCTACTGACACTTTATATTGTTTACTGTTGGTTGTTCAACATAACCATTGTTCAGTATTACCAACAAAATAAACAAAACAGTGCATGTTAAGACATACAAGTTCAAACCAAAGACATTGATGATTACGTACTGTATCCACATGGAATTATGTCATGTATGTGAGGTGTCATCTCACCTCTTTTAAATAAGAACTGTGCTCTGGAATGAAGTCTTTGTGCAGGGTGTGGACTGAAGCTGTGGCTGAGTTCTTCAGAGAGTGGAGGGCATTGATGAGCTGGCTGAGGGGCACTATCATCTGGCAGAGAAACAAACAGGAGAGGGTGAAGAACAGTCTTTCCACACATTATCAGATGTGTAATCTGTTATTTATCATCACTTTTACTGGGTTTTATGTGAATCCTCCAGACAGGACAGTGGGACAGGACGGTTGTATCACTGTTATTCAGGCTAACTCTATGCTGCTTGCCAATCAGAGAACAGTATGGCCATACGTCAGACGTGTGCCAGTTACATAACCTAAACTCTTTAAAAACTAAGTTACAACCCTTCAATTTTCTAAAAGCCCAGCTCTTTACAGATATATCTAATGGTCTGAGTCATGACCGAAACCGCACGTACAAAGCGTGTCGGGGCTCACGGCTTTAAAGTGGCTTACTATGACAACGTGACGTAAGCATGGGCTGATTATGAAGACATATAACGTTAGCTGTTCATGCTAACATTAGTCGTGTTAGGTTGTCATTGACCACGAAGACAAGACATAAACAACAAAAGACAGAGTTTCTTGTTGCTATAACTTCCATAACAGTCCAGCCTGGGCAACAATGATTTTGTAACTAAAAGACATACGTTGTCAGAAGAACACACATTAGCTAACGTTAGCTAAATACAAAAACGGCTATACTGTCGGCTTACCTGCTGTGGTTGAAACGACGTTGACAGTGAAAACATTTTTGCCGAATTATAATAAAGAATAAAGAGTTGGAGGGTTGGTGTGTGAGGAGAGACCCTCTATTTAACTCAAATGAACGAGTCCTCCCGCGAGCGGTGTCCTTTTTGTTTTCCTTGTTACACAACTTTCAGCAGCTTAGCTAACAGCAAATGGATCCTCCGGCATCTGAGGTCAAATGGACTACAAAGTGACGTCAAGCCAATACTCCCGGTTGGAGGTTGCGTCACTACATCGCTTGAGGACCTCAAACGGCAAATTTATGTAAATCAAAATATTAAAATACTTAAACGGTAACGTTACAAAGCAAAAATACAACCTTTTTCCCTTTATGTGCCCTACACAAATAAATAAACACTGCCGTCAAAAAAGTTTTGTTTTTTTTGTTTTTTCTTTTTAGGTTTTTTTTTTTGTAATACAAGAAAAATATACAAATTGAGTTAGGGAATAGATGCATAAAGACAAAAGATATAAAATAGCAGCAATGGTGGAAATGATGCTACAACAAAATAATAAAAAAGAACAATAAAGGCATTAAACGAGCAAGGGCATAGATATAAGTGTATGTGTGTTTTTTAGCTTTACTGTTCAAGTTTTTCTTTACTGCCTGATCAAAATTAAAATATCAAAATGATAGACAGATAAATAGAGTAATGTATTGATGTTGTCGGGGGCTTTCACTGTTACAGCAGCTTGGAGTAAAAACGACAACGATATGGAGCAAAACAAACAAAAAAAATACAAAACCCCGTTAAAATAAATATATAATAGCTTTATATTAAAAATATACCGTATCGTTCTCTTGTTTTGACAGATGTTAATACACTCAAAAGCTTTTAAATATTTATTTATTTGATGACTTACACTTAATTTCATCACCCATCAAGCGCATGACTGATTTACACCCAGGCAGTTACTTGAACAACTAAATGAAACGAGAGGTTAGAGGACCCCGCGAGAGTGCAGTCAATTCAAAATTTCAAAACAAACCCGAAGTTGTTATTTCAACATGCAAGTGTTTACTTTGACCTAGTTAGCAGTTCCTCATTTGAAAACTTGTACAAAATGGACGCAGAAGAAAAACCAGACTCCGGTGCAGGTGATAAATCGGTGGATATTCATAAACCGCCTTCCATCGAGGATTTCATCGTTTTGAAGCCCATCAGCCGCGGTGCTTTCGGCAAGGTCTACCTTGCAAGGAAGAAGTGCAATGCGCGATTATATGCCATTAAGGTGAGTCGGTTTTTATCTTTGAAAACCTCGACTAATTCATTAAGAGTCATTTGAGCTAAACAATACGTATTTTGTTCTTTAGGTGATGAAGAAAGCAGACATGGTTGATAAGAATATGACAGGCCAGATGAAGGCAGAGAGAGATGCACTTGCTTTAAGCAAAAGCCCCTTCGTGGTTCACCTGTTTTACTCCCTTCAGACAGCCACCAAGATCTATCTGGTAACACCCAGAGGCAAAATAAAGACACATTAACAGTAAT